AATGTCAGGATATAACGTATACTTAGCTTGATCCAAGTTTAGGGTGAATATACAACTGTGCTTTTTAAGTACAAGACACAGAATAAGCCCGAACTGTCAGGACAGACAGGTAACACCACAAATACTATTTTTCTCTATGCACTGATTCTCTTAGTAGAGTTCTGCATTCACATAACAAAATGATGAACTGATGAACCTGTACAGCTGCTTCTTCAAAGAAGAAAAAACAAACCACACCCAAAACCAAACTGTAAAAAGGCAAAATATGATACTTAACCACAACTCAGTCAACCCACTGCAGACCTACCAGCTTTTCACACCACTCACCCCTTAAACTGGAGAGTGCAGGATGTCATTAGGATCCTATGCACTGGGAGAAACGGCATCTCAGGAAACATCTCCACTCACTTGTGTTGGTTCATTTAAGGCAGTTTCTTTATCAAGAATATTGAGGAGCACAGGACACCGAGAAAATGGCAATGAGTGGCTGGATTTACATGGCAGGTTTCTTCTCCTGCAGTTGCCGGATGAGTGCAACACAGTGTCTGAAGCACGAGTGGTTAAATGATCTACCTGCCAAAGCCAAGAAGTCCAAGCTTCGCCTGAAGTCCCAGTTGTTGCTGCAGAGTTACATGGCTCACAGAAAATGGAAGGTAAATAGACAAAGTCTGGCAAATCTACTTCCAGATGGAAAGTCAGCTCAAGGCAGAGCCGTTCTCTACTTTTACGTGTGTTGGCTCACTCTTGCCTACAGGCTTCTTTCTTGTAAATGAGTTTTGGAAGTCTATTTTAAGCTGTATTTACTCCTTCTGATTAGTGTTTTAAGTTTTACTTTTTGTTTTTTTCCCTTTACAAGTTCAGAGACTTCAGATGCTACTGAACTTATATTAAATGTTCTTTCTCTTCATATTGGAGAGATTTTTCCATTGACAACAGTTGCGTTGCTCTGTTGTCACTATGGAGTAGGGGATACAGCATAAGGCAGTTTTTGTGCCTCCCATCACAAACAGTAGAAGTGTGGGAGAGAAAAAAAAAATTAAGCTTAAACCCATTTAGAGAACTCTTCAAGACCTTTCTGATAACCCCATGCTCCTTCAGAACTAAATTTTATATGAAGAAGTGATAGATAAGAATTTCTATTGGAGTCTTTATTGGATTGTAGATAATCAATCCTGAAAGGTGAACACAGTGACCTTGTTACAAACAAGCCTGTGGAAACGTGAAGAAAACTCAATGAGGACCATTTCCTTTTCTTTTGTCACTGGAGTTTTGTAATTCCTTGCCAAAGAGTTAAACCAGAGGCTTACACTTTTTCCACTACTGCACTCCAGCTGTTTGGTCACAGACTTCTGTACTTGCATTTTAAAAAAAATACATAATCTAGAGATGTATCACTATACAATTTGTAAAATGCTGCAGAAGTTCAGAGTACTAGCGGTCTGTTTTGCAGTTATCAGTGGTTCCCCAGTACAAAACTGTTCTGTGCTGTGATCTGCACAAGGTGGGGGGATCACTAAAGGTAAATGGATTCACTGAGAAGAAAAATCCACGTCAGCCACAGAAAAGGTCTTCTACCTCAGTTGCACTCACACTAGAACTGTTCTGTTTCATTCACAGAAACATTTTTATGTGGTGGCTGCTGCTAACAGGCTGAAGAGATTTCAGAGTATGTCTGTCAAGCTTGCATAAGCTTGTATGAAGCATCTACCACTCTTGGAGATGGACATGAAGCCATGGAAGAAAGACTCAGTATCTTCATTAATTTCTACCCCTTTGTTTTATAACATAAGGTTTTGGGTCTGTCCTTCTCAAATATTTTATGTGTTTGTGCTGAAGTTCGAGAAGTGCCTCAAGCAAGAGACACTGAAATAATTTCTAAAGCAGAAGCTACCTTGTTTGTTTTAACGAGTTTTTAGTTGTTGTACAGTGATGGAAAAACTGACTTCTTGCTGAAGGCTTTGATTCTGCAGAGTATTGTTGGTGTGTTTACAGCAGAAAACACCTTGTTGGTTTTCTGGTTTCTCACACCAAGCATAGGATCTCTAAAGACGTTCTTCGTGACTAATGTATGTCATCAATTTGAGAGCACTGCCACGAGAGCGGTATAATTTGTTTTGTTTTTTTCCTACTTTCTCTTTTAAAAATTAGTCATTGCATAGTTAGGAAACACAAGGAATCCTGGTTTGAAGCAACGTAAGTCAGAGGATCCATTGCTGCTTTTTCTTATGGTGAGCTGAATTGATTGAACTTTTGGAAGGAGATAGGTGAAACCACCACAAATAAAAATTGCCTAATGATCCTTGGGTCTATGCAAAAAGATCTCATGTTTTCCAGAAAATATTTCCAGACATTGTTTTATATGTATTTAAAACTTGTAAGTGCTTCTCGTTGGCTGTGACTGCAGCCCTTAATTTTCTAAGTTTCAGAGAGAAAAAAAAATCTTCAAACTGACAATTTTAATGAAGCCTGAGAAGTTAATATGGAGTGATATGCAAAATAGGTATTATTGCTGTTCAGTGGCAGGGAAACAGTGTGTTGCCAGGCTCTGCCTTCAGCCCAGTTAGGAGGCTGAAGCTCTTTTTCTCCCACTTCATTCTTGAACATTAAATGTTTTCTTCACAATACTAACTTATTTTGGATTTTAAACTTTTTCCTGATGTATAAAGAGTTGGAGCCACTTACAATCTCTCAGCTTTATACTTACTTATAAAAGTATAACATTATTTATTAAACTTGTGGTTTCCTTTATTCTTGTTATAGAGTCTGTAAAACTCAGGTGAGCTGGACAGGCTTTTAGGCAAAAAAAAAGAGAAACTAATGCTACTAAAACTTGGGCTTTTAGGAAAAAAAAAAAGAGAAACTAATGCTACTAAAACTAGCTTTCCAGCAAAGGCATCAAACCACTGTAAGCTCCCTTTAACTTTATGGACTTTCACATCGTCCAATTAGCAAAAGCGTTGGTTGCTTATAAAGAGGTTTGTAAGACTGGCTTACCCTAGTCTAGTTATCTTTTCCACTCCAGAGCTTCTCGCTTTGCATAGTCCTGAATTCTGGACTTCTGCAGCGTTTCCAGGACTGAGGCAGAGAATTATTAAAATCAAGTGAAATAATCTTGACAATGTATCACCTTCTGTGAAGGCCTGCTTTTGTTCACGTTTTCCTTGCACAGTGGTTCTGCATGCTAAATGTGGTTATATTAATTGGTCTGTATATTTCTGAATTGATACTAATAAATTCCATTAAAGTGGAACAAGCCTCAGTTCTGGTTTAACCCCCCTTGCCAAACAAAACCTGAAAACATCTCTGAGCAGATCTTAACGACAGAATGCTAATGTACTAGGTTGGAGTCTCTCCCATCCTGAGGACCCTCTGCTATATGTTAGATCAGACACTAAATGGCAGACATCTTGTTACAGCTCTTACTCAGTGTGGGTTAATTATCCAGTACTTTCTCTGCACATCAGACATTTGTTTGGAGTCCATTCCTCAGTAGTTACTGTTACATTTCAGAACTCTGATCTGGAATGAAATTAGCTCTTGCTAATTCAAGTAGAGTTGGCTTCAAGTGATCTCCTTTTTCATGCACTGGAAGGAGAAGTGGTGAAAGGAAAATAGCCAGAAAGTTTTAATTTTCCGATTACTGTGTGCTTCTTCCTCTATTTTGGTAAGAGGGTAACATACGGATGCTCTCTGCTGTCTTATACTTGTTTCCTCTCCGTTTTCTACAAAGAGAAGGTGCGTCTGGCCAGCAGGATTATTATTTCACATGGTTCTGCAGTACAGTGGAACCCACCTCTGCAGCCTTAAGGGATGTTTCACCATGTCCCGTGCATTTTGCTTTGGGAGTCTAGGAAAAGCTAAAAGGACAAACCATGGGTGACCTGTGAGTCACTGGAACAGTAAGTATGACAAAAATATATACACTGATATCTAAAGCAGTTAAGATACCAACTATTGTAATCCTGGTGCAATCAGTTTCACTCAGGTACAGAGGGAGTGTGCACAGCAGTGAGGCATTTGGAAAGCCACTAAAATACTGCTGAGAAGAAGCTCAGGTGCGAGTGGTGTTTCAAATCTAAATGCTTAAACATGAGAACTTACCTTGCTTCATGTGGACACTTGAGGGTTTCTGCATTGTTTTGAAACAAGGATTTATGAAAGTTAACTTCTCTTTGCACATCTGAGGAAGAAAACATGCATGAGAAATGGGCTGAAGACTTGGATTGGTTTTATTATACCAGCCCAGTACTGCTAAAAGTAATCATTTTCCTTCAGAAAGTAGTTAACACAAATTGTAATTTCAGTAGCTGGGATGAAAGTGTAGGATCACAGATGTTGTCTAAAAGAACAACAGGGCAGGGCACTCTCTCCTCTTCCCTAAGTTTATGACTGAGATGCAAAAAAACTCTATTACCCAGCCAAAATTCTGTCCCCTAGATACCTTCCTTACAGCACAGACATCTGTATGTCTTTTATTTTGTATTCTAAGGGTTTTAACAAGTGCCAAGAACCTGATGTTATAATACAAAGTTTTTCCTTCCAATATTTTTATTGTTTCTTGAAAGATTTGGGACCCCTTACAAGCACAAGAGACTTCAGTCCCATACAGGTCATAAGTCAAATTCAGTGACTTAAACAATATTTCTTCAACAGTAAAAAAAAAAAAAAAAAAAAAAATTAGTCTTAATTTCGCTGCTGGTTTTGCAGTTTAACAAGGCACTGTTAGTCCCCTTGCTCTTCACTGACTACTTCCAGCCAGGGCCCCAAGGGCATATAACTTACAACTTATTTACACTTCACACAGCATTAGAACGTTACCTGCTTCTTGCAGCAAGAGAATGAAGTTATTCTACCACCTAATGCCACAGCTGCTCAGGTACCAGCCTGCCGAGTAGTCAGACAGGCTTCCTGTAAAACCACCTCAATTCTGAAGTAATTTACTAAAAATAACATTCTTAAATACTTAAAAACTAGCTAATAAACAAAATCACCTGGCTGCCAGGCAGCCATCACTCATGCTGTTGGAACTCTTGGGAGAGCAGAGGGGGAGTTAAAACTATGAGCAAGCAGCAGCTACGTTACTAGGTGGCACTACAGAGACAGTACTACTACTTGTCTCTTGTGCCTTAGCAGCGTTTTCCAGGATTTTCTTTTTCCATTCTTCATAGTCTTGCTTTGTTTCAGTCTTCAGCCGTTTACATGGCATCTCCTCATCATCTTCAGATCCTGTGAAAGACGAAAGTCCATGACAGGCCATCATGGGCAATATGTTGCTGGGACTAACCACGGCAGTGAGCAGATGTACAGACACAAGCACCAAGTCTGTCACTGTGTTATCTAATCCTGTGGTTTGCTGCTCCTCTCACCTGCCCCAACTGTCAGAACCTTTGTGTTTGAACGGAACAGTTGTCCTTAATTCCGCTAGGACTACTCAGTATAAACGCCATTGTCCTTCTGCTAGGTTCTGTTTCATTTGCCAGTGGCTTGCAGAATGGAGTAAGCTGCTATGAACTGAACGTTATGGCGTATTACACAACTAAAATACTGAGCAGCAATAAAGCTCAAAACTGCTCTGGTGAGGTGATTTTAGTTCATAGCTAAACGCAACTTACCATCTTCCTTCTCACAGTGGTCCAGGTCGGTCTGTAAGCTTTCAGGTGTCTCTGCAGCCAGTGGAACATCTTCTTCTAAAAAAATAAGTAAGTTGCTTTACTTCTGAATGGTGTTTGGGACCCCAAGGGTGGTGTTCTACATGCAATTCTTTGACATCAGTGCCACCTTCCAAAGGTATTGTCTACCAGTCAGAGCAGTCCCTGGCGCAGACTGATGCTCAAGCTGTACATGCAGAGGTGCCAGCACACTTCAAGGGTTAAAGCAGCTAGCAAGTCCATGTAACTAGCACTGCTGCTGCATTTGTAACCACAATGATCCACTATGTTCATACCCCAGAAACACACTGCTGCCCTTCTCAATTACTCAGGTAGGATTATCAGGTTTTTCCTCCCCTTCTATCCCACTCCCACACTTCGTATTATAAATGTCTACAACATGCAGGGGTTGTCCATGTAGACAGATGTACGCTCTTTCCTGAACTGATACAGAAACTCCCAGCTGCCTTTAGCTGCTTTAGTGGTGGGGTAGGGTTTTGGTTTTTTATAGGGCACTGCACTATGGGAAGGTCCATATCTAGGGAGAGAGAACTGGGTTTTGGGTTAGGCTCAGGCAGCGCATTCCAGAAAACTTCATGATATGAAGCATGAAGACAGGGTGAAGCAGGAGTACTGTCAGTGGGGGAGTAAGAATGAAAGCCTGGGAAAGAAAAAAGGAGATAAGTAGGAAGGAGCAGAGATATAAGGACAGCAAAGCGTATCGTATTTCAATCCTCCTCCTCCACAAAAAGGAGTGGAGAGTGCTGCAGGTTCAACAACTGGCAAGAAAGATTCTTCATGTCTGCCCACTGTGTGTGAGGGGATGGTGTCAGGTAATGGCTGAATTACTACCAGAAGAGCAAGGCTTAGGCTTGTTAATACTGCAGTAGGGGAATGGCAAACAGAGAAGTGAGTTAGTCAAAGCAAGAGGTAGCAAGATGTTCAGGTTAATTTGTGTGTCATGTTGCCATGTTAACAGGAAGCAGAAAGCAAGCAAGGAGGAGGAATCCAAGATAGGTCAGGTGCTATGGGAGAAGCAGGGAATAAATTGCAGCAGCAGAGAATGTAAGGAGCAGTAAGCATTTGAGAAGAGAGGAAAATATTTATTTTTGGCCTTGCCACATGCTAAGCTTTTGTGGTTTCCACAGAAGCAATTACTGTGACTGGGAACTGGGCTGCACGAAACATGTTGGAATTGATGGGCAGGTTAGGCTAGAAGAGGACAGCTGGAAGTGATGAGAATGAAATCACCAGTGGAAAAGGATGGGGCACTGTGAGGCCAGGTGATAGGTATGCTGTCTTACAGAGATAAAGCCAAAAACTTACTGCTGAGTTGCTGGCTCATCTTCTCCAGCTGATTGCACAGTCGGTCAAATATTGCTTTTTTTACCCCAGACGTTGCTAACATTTTAGTTTTGTCCACTTTTAGCTTCAAACACCTACAAGAGAAAGTGAAGCTATCTCTGTACAAAGCAACACTCCAGCCACTATCACTCAGGTGAGGGGACGTTTACTGTACCAACACTGCCTGTGAGAATGAGGGAGGTAGGCGTGAGGTTTTGTCCTGTATAATCCATGTCTCACTCTAAGCAAATTTGCTTAAAAATAGACCCCTACACTACTCAGTCAATACAAGTTAGTTCAAGTTATATAAGAAAATTCTATTAGGAAAAGGTACTTTTCAGATTTTGAGAGAACCAGGACAAAATCCAACTACTGCAAAAAGACGAATGGAACCCCTGTGCCAAGAGAACCTTTGTCAGGAGCTGTGCAACTACACAGCACCTAAATTGCTTCATAAGACTGTTACAAGGTGTAATACTGAGGGGGAAAATACTTGCATGCAAGCAAATTCTTACAAAGAGTTGGTGGAGTCAGGTGCTCCTGACACCTATCTCCCAAGCTGATACAGGCCTACAGCTATTAGATCCATCTCCCAAGGGTGGGAGCACCTTCAGGATGTGAGGGTGTAAGGGTTAGGGCTTTTCCTTCTTCAGAATGGCTGCTTCGTGGTGCTCAGAAGTAAGCTAGCAGCCATTCTTGCACCTTGAGCAGTCTCTTACCAAAAGCCATACAACTTTTTGCTTTGTGCCCAGCTCAAACCTATCCCGACAACTTAAAAAAAAAAAAATCCACTAAATCTGAAAATGTTACTACGGGATTATGTTCTGCTGGTCAGGCTGAGAGGAAGGAGGGTGAAGTGCACAACACCAACCCAAGTTTTTCAGCCACTGTCCTAATGGAATTACTCACAGCATCCTATTACACACCAGGGGAGACAAGTTTCATTTATTTTAGGATAAATAACTCAAGATCATATTCTGTATATTTGATCTGCTTTCTCCTGAAGGCAAATGCAGCATAGGCTGGAGACTTCACTGTAAGAAAATGCCTAGTTTGCTACAGCTGTCTCCATTTCCAGGAGCAGGGCAGCAGGATGTGCTAAGCAAGACCTTTCAGACGTACTGAATGAATCAGCTGCTCACAGTGTAAGCACTGTTTCTGTCCGGTGTCTCACTAGGCATTTAAGCCCATAAAAGATCCCTCAAGCTATACTCACCTGCAGGCAGTGAATAGAGCAGCTGTTAAAAAAAGTGGTTTTGAGAAATCAAGGTCCACTTGCTGTGCTTCAGAGAGGCTGGATTCATACCTAAAGAACAACAATAAGAGTGACAATTGTATAGTGCATTTACCTCAAATGAAGCTGTTGAAATTACTATGCCACATGGTACTCAGTAGTTGAACAGGTGTCCTGTTGGATCACTTGGTCCTTTGCAACCCAGTCAAACAGAAACAGTTCCTACTGGCTGAGAAGAGCAAAAGAGACTAGGGAAAAGAAGGGGATTGGTATCATCTCTTCTTTTTGAATTAAAAGTATTTTACATTTGAGATCTGGATCAATTCATGTCAGGAAAATCTACTTCTTGTGCTCCCCATCCACATAACACTTTTATCTCTACATTACATCTAAAAGTTACAATGACATGCTTCACATAAATCCATTCTACAATAGAGGGTAGAATTATCATTTCTTTAATTCTTCTAATAAGTATATTACACAGATCGAGGCTTAAATATGGAAAATGGCGTGGTGGATGTGCAGCACTAAAGAATTTAATTTTTTCTGGTCCATCTGTCCCCAGGCTATTCTTTTTTCAGTTTTATTAGGCACTGACAAGCATAGACAGCCTTTGTTCACCGATCTAACAGCATTTAAACGTGTGCTCTCAGGGTGACAGCATTCCAGAATAGATGTCTTCAGTGATTGCTCTTGTTAAAGTAGATGTGAAAGTGCAAAATTTTACTTAAATCTGTTGAATCTCCACTGAAGTGTTCTATCTATTGTTTTTACAGGTAGCATAATGTGTATTTCAAGAGAAGGGAGGATTTGTTTCTACTGAGCATTACTTCTAACTGTGACATGATCAGCAGTTAAATGGAAGACATTGTGATGCTCTGGAAAAATACAGGGACTTAAGAGTCCTATATTTCTTACATTATTCCCAGTTGAAGAACTGGGACTCAGACAATGACTTACTGAGATTCACAGACTTGGTCTTTCTAATGTGCGTTCTGAAAAGCAGCCTAGATAAATGGCTGGATGGCCAGTGCTAAGAACCCACCAACTCACCTCACGACTACAGTCAGTGGGAGATACCCAACCCTTCCAACCCATCAAGCCTTTTACACATCTAATGAACAAAGAATGTTACTAGTAGTTACCAGTGTGCTCACGAGAGCTTCCTCACCTCTGCAGTATTTTTGAAGCGGTGTTCACTGCCTCCGTGCAGCAGAATTGCACAGCCAAGTCTCGCATTCCCAGTCTGGGGTTCACCTCTAGCAAACACTCCAAAGACTTCATGGAGCTCTGGTAGGTAGTCTTGTTCAAACCAGAGAGTTTAACAAAATAGCTCTTTCAAGAAGACAAAGACAAACCCCAAGAATTGGTGAGATTCCTTCCCAACATATTATTCAGGCAACCAAAACAGATTAGGGAGAAACCACACTACATCATAAAACAAAGTTCAATTGCTACATTAAACAAATTTGTGCACACAGAAAGATTAACCGCCTAGGAATGCAACAGCTTTTAATGCAGTGTTACTTTTAGACCATTTCACTGGAATTGAGATTTGTCTTTTCTGCATGTGACATGGCCCTTTTACCACAAGGTAGTTAAAAACAAAGGTAACCAAGATCTGGGCAACTTGAAGAGGTAAGCAATACCTCCATGCTACTCCTCATGGGGTCAGGTCCAATTAAATTCTCCTCCGTCTGTGAATCGAAATCACTAACATCTTGTACCAGACATGATTTTGGGATCTCAGTGCCATTTAGGTCTGCAGATGGAAGTTCACAGGTACCACTATAGAGATGGATTCCTTGGCCTCACTGCTTCCCTCTCACAGTAAAAGGGACAGATCTTAAATTTAACATCCTTGCTGGTAGTTTGTTACTAAAGAGCTGAAGTTACAGCAAAGCAAGCTCAGCTTGTGAAGTGACCGTGACGTTGTTCTCAATTTGCCCTCCTTCAAAGTCTGGGTAGTGAAAGCTCTAACGCTGCGTCTAGCAGCGCACTACTGGGTCTGGGGTAATGTCAGTTATTACTATCCCTGTCTTGCTCTGAACATACACTACACACCAATGATTTTGGTGGCCATATGGAGAACACACCAGCCAGCCAAGTCATCTTACTTTGTCAACTGGTTGTTTCATGAAACTAGCTGCTAGGTCCAGGCACATCACAGCACTGCTTGTCGCTGTCATCTGAGCCATTAATCCCGTGCATTTCACCTGGGACAGCCGCAGATACTCTTCAGCTTTTCTGCAAAACACCCAGCACACAAAGCCCTCCTGAGTGAAACCACAGTCACAAGGCAGCAAGAACGGCAGGACAGGAACCGATGCCGGGTTCAGCCAGTCCAGCACCCCAGCTGCCGCACACGCTTACGGAACGAGGCGCTGAGCAGCACGGCGAAAGCAGGACAGTACTGCCCCTTCCCCGACCGTCCGCAGCAGCAGTTTTGCATTTCATAGCCTGCGCTGG